GAGGTAAATGGCGGTATAATTAAACAAACAACCCACTTAGATACTTCAGTTTTTACCACCATTAACCATGCACTTTCGTGCGCCGATTTTGGTTGCTGTCTTTTAGCTGCCCATTTGGATGCACAGTAGGAGCGTGGTGTCTCCAATGTTTTGGCAGATAGCGCTTTTCGCCGTCCTAGTTTTACCGTGTCTCAACCGGCAGGAATGGTGTTCACGTATTTTCTTTGATAGCTGCTCCGCAGTTCGACTGATGTAGCTCGCTCCACAGTTGGACAAACTCAAATAACCTTATATCATTGTAACGGCCAGTTGATAAATTTATCGAAAAACAACTTGTTTCACTTACCGGACTTTGTTTTCAATGTGGTATACGTATTTTTCATTTACTGATTAAAAAGCGACCAATGGAAAGCGTATAACCTCACTTCTCTAAGGATTGTGGTCCACTGAGCGGACCAACGGTGCCGACAGTCAGTTCAGGACAGGACATGATTGTGCAAAACTGAGAGGAACGATAGCCTTTACCGGTGATTCGTGTGAATCACAAATTGTGTATGAATCTCATGTGAGCTTAAATTCCTGATGCAATTGCAATAATAATTCTCGTCGGTTCACTGCTACATGAAAATGTTTGGACGTGAGATGTGGAAGAACAGAACATGAGACCCAAACAAGAACGATTCTAGCAAAAACTGTCAATTGTGACAACCACAAAACTTTTGTGCAATATAACGAACGGCTTTGTGACAGCCCACACGGGCTAATATACAAGCGCGGTGGCGTACACCCCGAAATGCACCGTTACGTTCAGAGTTCTCGGTGGTGGTGGTGGATGAATGTCATGTTATGTTTTCGGTCACACAAGGATTCATTGTGACCCATATCAACCCTCTAACACACAGAACGGTGAACGATAAGATGGGAAAAGAATGTGACACAGGTGTGTGGTGGGGGATATGGTAGGGATGGCGGCTGTCAAATGAAATCTGTCACAGACGCACCTAGACGGGGCGTTTAATCTGCTGTTTATTATTTATCTCCCATTATATATGATACACACACATATGCGGGTGCGTGCATTTGTCATAGGGATCGAATGCATTGCCCTACAAAGCACGGTCAATCAGCTGGGCACGTAGGTGCACGCATCACATCCAAGGACTTAGATAATACGCGTTCGCTCACTCGCACCCTTACACACAGAAACGACTCCGTTGAGTGTTAGAAAGAAATTGATAATCGATACAATCTCGTATCTTGAACGATCAAGTGAGAATGCGTGAAACTGAGCTAGCATAGTTGTTTTTACCAACCAGATGATGGATAATAGAGCAGACGAACGACCAACTCATGGAGATCTATTTAGTGTTCGGCTGAGACTCGGTGGCATAAGTTGTGCGTAATGGTCCGTATAAGGTCCCAATACAATAGGTGAGGTATTGAGTCGAGCACTAAAAACGTTGTTGCATCGATGGAAAGATTGGAACCCAGTATATAAAAGCTCGATGTAGAACAGGGACAGCCATCACGACAAGACTACAACTTGACGTGGTGTGGTGGCTTGGGCACCTCTCTGACCCAACGAGCTACACAGGATGGCTTTTGTTAAGCCGAAGCTCTAATCATGCCTGGAAGATCAAAGGGTAGAGGTCGGAAGAAGTCCAGCCTCCTGGTCTTCTAGGTTGAGAGTTTGACTAGAATTGGCGTTTCAGTCGGTAAAAATGGTGGAGTAATTGACACAAGTAAATGGGCCTCCACCTCGCTTCACCCGCTGCCTTGCGGCTAGGTTCTTGACAGAACTAAAGACTGGTTGAGAACCCAGTCCTGCTTGCTTAGTGTATTTCGCTGTACGATGATGAATTAAAACTAGTAAACTACAAACACGTACTTCATACTGGAGAAATGGGATCAGCTTCAAGGTGGATATATCTTACATTAAACTACCGATACAAGATTATTCAGTCCGAGTCGTCGTGCGAATAACACACAAACACATATGGGGCTGTAGTATGCGTGTATCGCACGTCGATTTGAGTTTTGCTTGAATTCATGAGTATCCAATACCACTTCGAGCGAAACTCCGGAGTCAGGTGTACTGTAAATACATCACCAAAGTTCAATCGAAAACGACCGTAAAAGTGAGACAAAACTGCCCATTGCAAAGACACGACGTACTACCATCGATCGAAATGTCATCATTCAATATTTTGCCCGCAATTTCGTAAACAATTGTAGCAATTTAAACAGGCTTTTTCCGAGAAAAATTCGAAGCCAGTGATACTTGCATAAATGAAATAAAAAGGATTTTTGTACACATTTCAAACTGGATGTAACGCAATGTTGCTAGATCAACGTAACCGGTTCCCGTTGTGGACTGTGCATACACTACACTGAACTCCTAAATTGCATGCATTTATGAATGATGCAACATTTCGTTGATCGATTACTATCATTTGGAGTGAACTATACTAATTATAATGCTGAAATGCTTAAGATAGCGAAAGCGATTGCAATCAATCGCGGGAAACCAATTTTGTGTCAGAAGGATAAGTTGTTCATCACCCCGGTTCAACCCGTGACAATTCCTTTATTCACGTTTATTTCTTTTGCAATATATTTTCAAACACGGTATAGATATTTCATATTTTTTACAGTAGGCACCTGTTGAAATGCAACGAAATTGTTCAGCACCTAAGCCGTGCAATGATGATATACTGGCTTCTTTTTCAAGTTTAATAATTGTTCTTGGTCAAGAGGTGGGTAAAAAAATACTTCTGCATGTTGACAATTTACTCTCTGGGGACTTCAGTGCAAAAGGAAGAATGCAATCGCTACAAGAGATTACCACAGAATGCGGTTTATAAGCCCGAACAAACTGGTAGCCCTCACGATGAGTTGCATGTACCGCAGTAATCGAGAATCAGATAAGGATTAAAGTGAATCAAATAAGAGAAAACTGGTACATACAGCCACACGATGAAGAGCTGTGATTCGAGTGAGCCAATACCGCTCAGTGCATGAGTCCGTCATGTTGCCATCAAAATATGCGACTAAACCAACGCAGTTCTTGGGTGATTTAGTAACGTCCAATGCGTGGTCATTAGGTCCCTGTTTGCTTGCGGACTGATTCACAGCGGTTCCTCAACAGATTGTAGATACTTTATTATTCAAAAAAAGATGCAAACGAGTCATTTCATGCTTACAACTTCACTTTCGTAGATGTCTGTGATCGAAATTTCGACAACAATAACCAGTGAACAAACGGAAATGGTGTAAAGAGTCTCAAACTGCTGCAATTACGGATGTAAAATTGGTTAACACAAATGCTTGAGAACCACATACCGATCGGTCGCTTGAACAGATTCCCCTGGAGCGGTCCCAAGGGGACGGGCCAAACTGAACGGAGTGTCTGCCCCGGTTCCGACTGCGGTGTCTGTGCATGGGGAAGCAGGATGTTGAACACTGGGAGGAAGTAGCAGATCTCCGGTTAATGGTCGAGAGAAAAACGACGGAGAGGGCGATTCAGAGCTCATATGCGAACCGGTTAGACGACATTTGGATTGTGGACTCTGAGCTGCAGCCACAGCAGCTAAACTGGATAGGATGTGGACGTGAGCGGCTGCGGCAGCTGCAGCAGCAGCAGCGGCGGCGGCAGCGCGTTGCGGATGATCTGTTAGTGGACTGAACAACAGACAGTGGAGAAAACCGTAATAGCCTAGTTCACAGCGCGGGTTGCAACTAAAGCATTCGCGCATTCCCTAAAGCTGCATATCGCATTCGCACGCTTCCGAATACCCAAATACCCACGATGCGATACAGCCTGATAAGCAAGTTTTTCGAACTCGTGGCAATCTCTAATGCTATCAGATAAAACGAAATGAAACGAAAAACGCAATCCAATACGAGGGACTACCACATGCCGGAGTTTCATTTTGGAATTTGTTACTTCGATTTCAATAGATTGTCGGTGTTTGAACACCGCTGTCTACGTCGCATTGCACGAGTTTGTTGGGGTAACCGGACGAGCGATGCTGAGGTTAGGCGTAGAGTTTTAGGCACTCGCGGTCGTCCACTGGAGCAAATGATTGACCTTCATAGATTACGTTGGTTGGAGCATGTGCTACACATATACCTCGATAGGTCACCATGGCGAGCGATGTTTGCCGAGGCAGGTAGCGGATGGAAAAAAGGTTAACGGGGGTCAAACTAAGACCTGGCATGAGGGTATGAAAACCCTGACCAGGGAACTGGGTCACATAGGTCCCGTTAGGCTCCCTAGATGGGGACCCCGAGATCATGGTCACCGATAGTTTGAGACACTGAGTGACATGACTGGGCGCCGCAAACAGAGGTGCTCGTACACCCACTCATTATTCTCCCAACCCCACCCTATATGAAATCCCCATATTTCGCTTCAATTTGCTCTCAACATTCCAATCTTCATTCCGTTCTTTTATCCAAACTGGGCACCAAAAGACAGCAATCGAAACCGACGCACGAAAGTGCATGGTCAATGGTTGCAAAAACTAGACTGACTGGACTGATTTCAACAATACATCACATAACTCACCTTGACGATAGTTGTGACTGACGAGTGTATGCACACGGCCCCCAATACGAAATCTTTGACAGTCGAATAAATTTGACAGCTCGAGCACACCCCATTTATTGAAATTTTCTACCTTAAATTCCCGAAGCTGGGAAATAGACGAAAGCATGAGTCTGTCTGTATGTCTAGCGTTTTGATCAGGAAAAAAACAGACACTAAACAACGACCTCTTTTGACGGTGATCTATTCACGACTCAAAATGACATCAATTTGCGGTACACACACACACACACATAACCTTCCCTTTTGCTTTGCGAAAACCGCACTGCCGTTGTCAATTACCCTAGTGACGTTTACGTAATCAACACCAGTAAAATCAATACACAAAACCGTATGCATAACGCGATTGGCGTTCGTATAAATGTTTGATCTAAACGCATTGACAGAGATCAATCAGGATAAGTGTGTTTGCAGCAAATATGTGATCGGGGTAGTCACCCAAACCTTTTGCTTATGATCCTCTCTCTGCCTCTGTCTGTCTGTATGCGTGCGTAACACTACCCAGTTGTTCCGGTAACGATGCCATTTTGTTTCATTGTTTCAGTGGAATTCCGTTAAATAGATGCTACATAAACGGCTGTGCTTGTGCTGTCTCTATTCCTCTACCACGGTACACAGAATGTAATGAGTGAACTAACTGCTACAGCGAACCAAAAAAAAAAAATTTAAACCCTGAATGGAACCTGATTTTATTTGTAGTAACCATAATTCGATAGATAGCAGCTTAGCTGGAATTGTATGGAGAGAGAGAGAGAACAGACGACGAAAGCCTGTACAGAAACGGAGATGCTTACGCGGATTGGTGTGCATTGGTAACCGAGCCAAATGGACTGGAGGCTCCGGTCTCATTCAAACCGGACGCTAGCAATGCGGCTGGATTGGAAAAGGCGAATTCCGAGTTTGGTACCAGTCCATATCCGGAGTTCGACAATGTGGTGATCGGGGCAGCCGATAGAGGTTTGGGCTGAGAAAGCGAAGTGTTCAGACCAAATCCGTTCGGTCCGCTTGCGTGGGTCATACCAGAGGCCGTGTTGGTCAAGCAACCACGCCAAACCGCGGCTGCTGCAGCTGCGGAAGCGGCAGCAGCCGCTGCAGTCCCAGCTGTAACTGATGCAGCTGCTGCTGCGGCTGCCGCCGCGGCTGCAGAGGATGAAGTCGGTTGGGTAGGAGACCGCAGTGCACCAGTCCAACTGTCCAACAATGATGTGGGAGTAGGATTTAGTGAGTCTATGCTGGACGGGGGAAGACCAACACGGGAAGTCATGGTGACCGACGGGCTGCGACTGTCTGACGTCAGGCGGAGTTGCGATTCATTGGCTTTGAGACCGTAGAAATCTGTGCGTTTCGGGGAAAAATGGGTTTTTGGTGAGCATATTAACACGAAAGTGCATGGTTATTGGTTGTATAAAAAACGGAACAGCAAGTAAAGAAAAGTTCAGTGTTATGCAACCAATTCCCTTGACCATTTTCATAAGAGCAAGAAGAAGCACTGAGGTTGTGATGCTTAATCTTGCAAAGTACAATGGATTTATCAATATATTTTACTGGTATGTGAAAAAATGAACACCATGTAAACACGGTACTGCCCAAGCCAAGACATTTGATGAATAGCTTAATTCATATGCAGGTCATTTTGGTGAAACCTTATAGTTACCGGTGTACATCATGGTAAATCGGCATTCTGAGGTTGGACGTGTCTAACTCTTAGAATCACCTAACTAAAACTCTGCCTCTAACTTCAGCTTGTCCGGTTTCTCCACCAGACTCGTGTGAGGTGCAAAAAAACAACGGGATAATGTGTTCGCTATTACATTGACATCCAAAAGCTTCAGTATCATCTCAGGTGGATGTCTTGGGTTGTAACTATCCTAACTATCCTTGTAACTTGCGGAATATTTCTGTTCGAGCAAGTGCCTCAGACAGCTTCTGCCGAGGAAGCCTTATTCACTACATTCACGTGATGATGATGTTTCCCGACGAAGAGGAAAGGACGAAAAGCCAAGATTCGGATCCGAGAACCACTGGAAGTTGATTTAGGAAAAGTGATTAAAACCCCTAATTCCAAACCAACCAACGGGCGCACGAACCACACATACACACACCTTGGTGGATGTGGCAACAAACACCGGCTCCACTAGGCGCCTGGGTCGTTTGACCCTGTAGGAAGGACCCATAATCCAATAAACCGACTCCCAATAGATTGCGGTTTTCGCACACCGCCCCGCTACTTGCTGCGTCCGTCGCTATCTGAAGGATCAGGTAGTGAATTCCCGAAAAATTCATCATTCAAAAGCGAATATGACTATCACTAACAGTTTCTCAAATTCTGAAAAGAAACCAGCGAATGCCAGCGCGATGAAGATTGAACACCGGAACGCTGAAGGATACAAACAGATGGTTAATGTTTCGCATTTTTTCGATCCGTTCCACATCTTTGAATGTGAACAAACCGTTTCGATACGTTCTCAAAACCGAATTCCAAAAAGGGCACTGATTACACGCCTGTAAACAGGAGAAAGGAACCCCGGATCGGAGGAAAAAGCAAATGATCGCAGTCACCAGTCATGAAGTACAGGACTCAAATTACACACGCTAAGTTGACTAGCAAAATCACGGCAACCACTTGATGACGTAATTCAAACAGAAGTAGAATAAGTAATAGACCGTCTTGAATGAATATATCCCCACGTAGTAAAGTGCGTATATGCATACGCGTACGTAATTCATTGACATATTAGAAGGCATGCAACGACAAGTCAGAACTTTTTTCTGTGCCACAGGAATTGGAGGTGTCGAACTAGATACGATGAGTATTTTCACCGTTCTACCAAATATGTAGGTGTGTTTGTTTGGGTGTGCCCCCTGCTGTGCAACGGAAGATATTGGAACACTCGTGTGACCATCTTCGACGTGTCAAGTGTTGTTGAAGCGTTTAGCGGTGCCTATGAGCACTCGCATCGTATAGACCAGACTATTATACAATCCAATCTTATGTTGGATGATGCTTTTGTGGTCGATCTGTGCTAAGCAGTGCATGATGCTGTGTCAGAAGCCAGTCTGTGCTGTTCTCTCTCTCTCATACACGCATTATTGGTCTCTTGTTGCGTTCCAAAAGGTCTATCTTATGGCTTATGGATTCAACGGAACAACGCCAATTGAGCAAATTTCTGTCAAGGGTTCACGCGAATTCACAGACAACCCGGGCGCAGCGTGTGAGATTCTGTAGATTTCCGAGACCGACGGCGAACTATTTGAACGAATCACGGGAGCGCGGTTAATCTCATCGAAAAGTACACGATTCGGTTAGCAATGACAGTTATCAAGCGCCGACTTCACTAAATTGCCCCCGTGTGTGTTGGAGAGAACGACACTTTGAAACTGTAAAGCTGTATCAGTGACAGTTTCCGGATTCACATTGGTTGGGTCCGGTCGTCTCAATAGAGTCGCGGCGAAAATCAGTCTCCGGCTCCGACAGGATTTCTGCTCCAAACTCGCTAGTCAACACGAATTCAAAGTAAAACAAGAAAGTACTGATAGAAACACCTTTCAACAGAAACGAACGAAATTCGTGCACCGAAGGAATGAGTCAGACGGAAAGCATTTCGAATTTCTTCTTTAGATCTAACTCAACTATCGATGGAGACTGTTCATTGAAAATCCAAGGGTCAAATGGAATGGAATGATGTGAAGATTTAAAACGAACTCAATGCTGCGGAAAGCTTTGTGTATCAACCAGGTTTGATCATCCTAGGGGAGTGACTCGAGTAGGTGATCATATCATATCATCGTTGAAAACCTACTCTTAAGTGATTCGTCTCGGAATCAAATATTATAAGGTAACAAATATGGGACACACACAACATCCAGCACCATAACCGGGTTGAGCAATCGACAATTGTCTCGTTTGGAAAACTGATTTCAAACATCGCGTGAAAATGTGCCGGATATCCTGGCAGCAACGGTTATCAGCTCTATTGAATGAAAGGGCGTCCGGGGGAACGCCGGACGTGTGGACTACATTCGAGGAGAGTATAACATGGTTCCTTAATGGTCCGTGGTTTTCCGCACACGGCTCCACTGCAAGACTTTGGCTAGTTGAAGGCTCCGGCTGTGAATACCTCGTGAAAATTTACCGTGCTTTCCCTTGGGCAACTTGGAAAAATATTCGGCCCACGGGCAAAGCGTGGAGCGATTCACTACATGTTTAGAAATGATCAGTAAGTCCATGTCAAAAGGAAGTAATACGAGTGATTCCCCGTTAAACAAAAACAAAACTATCTAAAC